AGGAACCTGGTGTCTTCCATGCATTGCACTTAGCACATATCGCACAGATCAATGCATGGAAGCTGGCGCATTCCATGCATTATGCTTGGTTCTTACTTGACACATAATTTCAACACCGAAAAGCAATTATCCATGGGGTTGGAAGTAACGGGGAGAGGTAAGCTGGCAAAAACTGACTGACTAGCATGTGCCGGCGATAGAGACTGGAGTTCTCGATAACGGAGTCTGTCAGATGTTTGGGAGCAGCGTTGCCCGATTACCATGTAGGGTCATCAACACTTTCATCACAAAGTCAGCTACTTCATCTTCGGTGACGCTACGCCGGAACACCTCGAAATGTACCACACCAATTTCAAGAGGTTACAGTGACCAGGAGAGTCGCGTTGCGGCTGCGCTGGGAGCCAGTGATCTGGTTGCCTTGCTTCTCGATGGCGGCTCGACCGTAAACGTGTGCCGAATCCGCCGGTCTCATCGATATGCACCGAGCCGCAATACAACTTTTGGCCTTTAAAGCAGTGGTCAAACGGTATAGTATAGTCACCAACTATTTCGAGAGTTGTCGAAAAGTGAATCATTCTGTCGATCTGTGATCATTTTTTTTTTGCGCAGGGTCGTTCTGTGTTGATGATTACCCAAGTTACGGTCCATGCCGAGCTGTTTTGGTGCATTACCTACTATTTTTATTCTAATGTGGATCTTGTTGCGAATTCAGAGAAAATGACGTCATCTGGTTGCGACTGGTTGAACTGCTTGAAGCTCACTCACCCACCCTGGTTGAAACTTTGGCATTCCACGACATCTGAACTGCGGTTAAGTGCATTCTAACACAGTTCCCCTTGAAATTTGATGAGGGCAGAGCTATGGGGAAATTATAAGTCCAAAATGCGATTCTGCAAGTTTTGGAGCTATACGGCATACCAACAAGGAACTAAGAGCAGATGATATAACGCCATGACGTCACGAACCCTGTTTTTTAACTTGCTATGGTGAAAGCAGCTTGTCAAGTTTCAAGGCTGCTTCGAAAAAGTGCATCAAAAAGCTTATATAAAAAATATATCTTTCTTGAGACATGTGTCATCAGAACATTCAAGGTCGACTAGGTACAGGTCATGACCTAGTTTGACATTTGACCTCAATTTATGAAAAAATCACTTAAATTTTCTTCCAAACGATTTGCAATTGAAAAACGATGTGTTGCCGTTCAGACGGAATGCAGGAAATCGACAGAATCTCTTCTAGATCGGTCGCAAATCGAATGTTAACACGGCGGACCACGCACGGCGGCACACCATGAGCCAACGGGCCGGTATATCGGGTGGCAGGGCAGGATCGGCTCAATGCGTCGAGAACCGTTACCGTGACCTTGAAACCAAGCGGGACTGTGCAACGGGGCATAAATGAAGAACGCGTTTTCATCGACCTTACCTACTTGTCATCAATCACGAGTAACGCAGATAGTCAACTTATTTTTCAACATGTTGTGCAGCCACATATGATCAGGTTTATTGTCATCGTTTTTAGTGTTTTTTCGTTTTTAGTGTTAGTTTAGCGAGTTATCTCACCGATTTATTAATCACGTCAGTTGATGTGAATACAAAAAGTAAGACAAGCAGGTTCAAATCACTGGCTGTCATGCACCGTAGATTTTATACAACTAAGTCCTTGCAATAACTGCTTCGCACTGCACTGATCCATCACGGGATTATTGTGATGTTTGACTAGTTGTACACACTGATGCAACTGCAAAGTGAGATCTCTTCCTCAGGGTTGATGACGGCTGACAGATTTGAATGACGTTATTATGACGCCATGAATACCATGGTGACTTTGAAATACTCTCCCCGATATACCTATCCCCATTATTGCGGATGCGTAGCTCAGAAACGGGAGGGGCTTAGGTCTTACGGAGGGTAGGATTGTGAACAGCTTTGAAAGGTCTTCAAGATGACTATTTCAGCTCAAAACCCCATATAAATGTGGAGCACTCCCTTTAACACGCGCTCGTAGTTTAAACATTGTTCCACAGCTCCTAAAAAATGCCGTAGTGACTGGTTTCAAAACTGAAATGAATGTTCATGGTTGGAATGGAATGCATTGGTTACGGTCAGAGTTCCGCCGAAATTTACATGACATTGAAACTACTGATATTTGGCCGCACACCTTATCGTTAAAATAATTTTCTCTAATCTACGTGACTCGGCATGGATGGCAGGTAGGTAAGGTCGATGAAAATGCGTTCTTCATTTATATACCTTGTCCCATAGTCCTGGTTGGTTTCAAGGTCACGGTTACAATTGCCGAGGCAGTAAGGCGCTCGCGCTCCGCCACCCGATGCCGGTCCGCTCTCTCATGGGGTGCCACGTGCCTGATCCGCCACTGTTCAAAGTCGATTTATGACTGATCTAGAAGATATTTCATTGACTTCCTTTTTAGGTCTGGACGGCAATTAGTTGGTTTTCAATCGCGTATCAGTTTGGAGAAGATCAAAAGGAGCGTTTTCCAGAAAATAAGACGAAGTGTCAAACTAGGTCACTACAGGTGCCTAGTTGACCTTAAATGCTATATTGACACAAGTTTGAGAAAAATTGGTATCTCGCTTTCCGATGCACTTTTACCAAAACATACATTATGTTTAGTAAACTGTTTTGGCTGGAGCAAGTTGAAAAATAGTGCTCATGATGTCATCGCGTATTTTCATCTCCACTTAGTTGCTTATCGGTATGCCATAATGCTCTAAAGCTTGCAGAGTCGTGTTTTTTGCCGTATAATTAGGCCATTTCAGTATTTTTCAAAGTGACAAGGATCCGTTTTATTGTTTGGTCGATATGCCGTCAAATGACCTAACTGCTGTGTGGAATACTCTGATACGGCTACAAAAAGGTATAATAACTTGTCCATGAACGGCCGATGTAATTCATCCTTTTGCAGCTGCAAAATGCCCTTGTTATCGGCGTGCCCTCAAACCCTAATCACCATCATTGGATCCTTTTACACTTTGACCAATACGCCTGAATGCAGCTTTTCCATCCACTAATGAATGAACTTATTTGTTAGGAATCCGTGAAGACTGGTCTATGCATGGGTATGATCATGCCTCTTAAGATTAGGGAGGGACATCGTAAGATTACGGAAAATGGAACTCGGGGATAACTTGAAAGGACAATTGTATTCTGGATGAAGGTGCATTCTACCGGCAAAGTTGAAGTAGATAAAACCCGATTTAAAGAACAATGAGAAATGTATTTCCCAGCGCCTTCCCTCCCCCCCCCCCCCCCCAGGCTTACTCCTATGTCTGCGCTCAGAATGCCCGTGAATCCCTGCTTAGTATAAATGTTTGCCTATGTCCAAACTGATTTACGCGACCGAGATGCCCTGAGGTGCGATGAAAGAGAAGGCATTGCAAACACGTGCTTTTACAACTTTTTAGTACTATGAGTCTGCCAACCATAGCTTAAATGAGCCTGCGCTGGTCATTGCTCCATCACAAAACATTATTTTGCATTGCATCTAATTAAGAGCTCGTGCGTGCCTCGCTAAAAGCGCATGTCTCGTCTACGCAAATCGTTAATGTCACATTTCCGTTGCAAACATCTCAGTTGACCTACCACGACAAAATGTCACAGGACGACCCGAACTGATCAATGCTTGGGTCATCGCTGGACACGTTAGGTATGAGGCTGTTTGGTAGTTTTTGTTTCCCTGTTCTGGCTCAGTTGGGGACCGAATAGCAGGCCTGGGCAGCCTGCCCAGCTTTCTCGTGACCTGCCAGTGAACAGAGTGCCCATCTGGCAACGCGGTAGTGAGGAGTAATAGTCAGTAGTCATGCACCAAGGATCTTACGTGTTCGTTTGGGAAGGCTAACAGCTTACATATGGAATGGCCTTCAGTTTGTTGCAAATCCATTTGAGATGGCGCCCATATGATGAAGTTATCCTCATTGCGTCGAGTGCGCTAAGTCAAGAGATGCCCCTCGTCAAGGGAGTTGAGAGACACCCACGGAATGTCGGAACGCTGAAATGAAATGTGTTCTGAAGATCAAGGAAATTGACAGCGGTGAGCAGGGTACAGGAGCAGCCCCTGCCGCAATGAGATGGCTCAAAAACAGGGTCCGTTCTCCGGGTAGTCCCAGTGGGGCGACGCTTCCTGATTTCGTCAGAAGGGCTGACTATCGATCGCAAATGTTCCCTAGAGTCGATGTCGCGAGGCGACCTCCGTAACCACGTAATACTCACTCTCACTAATCTCCCGGGATCAGCCCTAGACCGGGATTATAACTCTGTTGTCACTTTGGTAAAGCCTGAATATAGATTGCTCCCATTGTCCCAGTTTTGCGGACCTTACCCGGCCCCGGGGAGGCAGAAAGAACCGCTGCATGAAATACCCATGGAATATAGGAGAGCATTGTCGGGAGGGGCTGTGGATGCAATAGCCAATAATTTCCCTGCAGTTATATATATATATATATATATATATATATATATATATTATATATATATATATATATATATATATATATATATATATGCGTGTGTGTGTTGAAATCTAATATCTTGTTTTACATAGCATAGCAACAAATCTCTAAATGCTAGAATATGTCGCGATTCGTTTGTTGAAAGAAATGAATAGGTGATCATTTGTTTTGGATGCTCGGGTAGGAATTGGCGGATATCCAGCTTTCTGCACGCATTGTACAGGATGCCACAGGCGCGACCAGCGACGGCCAACGTCCGTAACTTCATTGACTGCCTCCAGCAAATCGGAAACACAGACCTGAACGCGGGCAGGAGCCGTCAACGCACTTTGCGCACCCTGACTCCTGCTCAGCGGCCCCGATCAGCCAGAGACCGGCCTGCGGACCGGGCTGGATGGTGTCCGCCCGTCCGTCTCCCCACGGCTCCCGCTCGGGCAGCGGCGAACCTCGCCTCGGGCGGCTCCGCGCGGTCAGGTGCGCATGCGCCGTGGAGGCTGGACGCCGGGTCAGCGACCCGCGCAGAAGACGTGGGGCCGCCGAGAGACCGGGTGACCGGGTGAAGTAGCGTGTGTGTGTCTGTGTGAGTGGAGGCGGACGCACAGGATCCAAGGTAAGCCATCAGCGGGCAAAAAAGCAGGCAGCCGGGTCATGCTAGAGGATCGCGACTGCTTTGTTCGTGACTTGTGCCTCGCACATCGTTCCGTGAGAAAGTACGCTTATAACGCAGTTCAACCACCGCGCATTTAATGCATGATATTAGGCATTAGTTTCAGTCCCAAACTCCAACCGATTATTATAATGGTCTGCCGTTGCGTCGTTGCGTTCCAGTGAAATTAGCGTTTGCCCGAAGGAGACTGTCTCTTGCTCGCACGCCGTACATGGCGAATCCGTAATGTACCGACCAAATGCATATTTGCGAGTACATAACTGGTGCACGCCAATAAAGAGACCGGGCTATCACTTAGGGCGTGTCGCTCACCTCCCCGATTATGGGGGCGCCGTTATCGGCCTGAGCGCACTGCTCACAGCAAGCAGCTTCGATACGAGAATGGGCTCCGGATACACGTCTGTTAAATGACAGCCGACAAACGTCCCACGCCAGGCAACTCCATATCAACGCTTGAGGCTATAACCTTGGGCATCGTAGGGCGTAGGTAGGGCTTGGGCTCGCACCTGCCATGCACCTTTCGGACTGCTAGGGAGGCCTTTCAATGTACTGTTCGGCGTTTGTAGATGGTACTAAATTTTGGCTACTTGGATTTGGAATCTCTTCATGCGAGCGTGTAACAGGCATTTATGTATGTATATATGTATATATATACACATATATATTGCATACATATTGTATATATATATATATATATATATATATATATATATATATATATATATGTATATATATAGTTTTGGGGAGAGTATACAGTTTTATGCAGTTTTGTACAGTATATATACAGTTTTGCACGGCGAAAATGAGGACAACTGCCTGTCCACAACGTTGACACTGATTTTTGACACCGTGCGTTGGAGATCCCGTGGAGCGAGGTGTAATGACGTGAATATAACGAGTGGTTACCAAGTACATGTCAATCTGCCAATTACCACAGGAGAGGTCGTTCAAGGTCAATACCCTGTCAGGTCAAACAAAACAGATTGCCTCAGACCATATGAAGTGCGTGCCCATTAAGACCGCAGTACACCAGTATCCTTACCATGTAGTGAAGCAAAAAGTTCGTGGACATCTGATGCCAATGTTATGGTTGGTCAGGGAATGACCCGAAATGACCTCGAATTACTGTTTTGAGTTAGAAATGGACAACCGTTGACCCACTACGACAACTGGAAAGGCTAGGGATGAAAATAGCATTTGAACACATTCGACGCCACCCGATGGACCAACTTTAACGGATGACGTACTGTGAAAGCGACGACAGCCGCACAGTTTGCATAGGGAATGCTATTAGATGAAGTCTCAGGAAGCTTCATCCCCTTTTCGATGTCAAAGGTCGAAAACACATCTGAAGTTAGCGAGTGTCAGGGGCATAGTGCTGTTGGTCAGCTGATGCATGCAGTCATGTTGGAAGTCACATAGTCCGTTCCGTTTAGCCCATATGTAGTATATTAGTTTGTTAGCGAGTGTATTTGCATTTTCTGTGCAAACACTTTGCATACACAAGTACGTTCCCAATATGGACTCAACTTGTCACGTGTATCGTGCACGGGCTTAATGAAGGCTCCAGACGATCTGGCCTACGGCGCAGTTATATTGAAAGGGTGTTCTCCATATTTGTCAGAGGTTTCGAAATTAAATAGCCATCTTGAAGATTATTCCGTGCACTCTACAGTCCTGCCCTTCTTGAGACCCGAACCCGTCTAGTTTCTGAGCTACACGCCCGCGAAGATGTGCAAACTTTTTAGGGATACATTTTTAAGGTTATCCATGGATTTATGACGTCATGATAAAATAATTAAAATCCTGCCATTCATTAGCCATGCAGTGATCAAGGCAACGCATCTATAATTGTCGAGTCTCTCATATCTGACGTTCATGAGCACGATTGCCAGATATAACGGCCATCAATTGTCTCTTAACCAATGCGAAATGTACGATGACGCAGTCAAACAAAGACGCATTGAGCTAGACGCGCGGGAAGCCTCTAAGATATCTGTGAATATATTAAAAATTAGGATTAGGCAGATATAGGCAGAAATAATAGCTTATCAGCGATAAGCTTTTATCAGATACCAGAGAAGCATATTTACCATATAAAGAAACTGTGTTGTCGAGAACAATCTTTTCCACTTTAAAGCATGACAGTGGTTTTAAGTGAGCTTGATTCACCACATCTGATGCCTCCTTCGACATCTCCAAATGTGCAACATTCCCTTCAAATGGCATTGGTCTTTCACGAGTTTCAATGTGAGTACGAAGTGAGTCTCCCGATTCAGCCCGTGCGACTGCAACGCAGCACGGAAGAGCAACTGAAGTTGAACGCAGCACAGCAGACGGTCAGGCGATGGAGAAATGCAACGCTGTCGCCGTGCCGCGTGCGTGCATTCGGTCTCACACAGCCACGATCATGGAGGGTGCTTTTATGGCGATGAATAAATGACTTCCATGTGTTGTAAACCGAGCTGGAAGCTTATGACTAGAAACAACGATTCGCCGTGTTCATTTCATATTAACTCAGTAAAGCTACGTCAGTAAAAATAGTTGTTTACTTCAGCCTTCGGTGGCAGCGATCTTCTGCAAATCGACAACCCGCCCGCTCTGTGCAGTCTCTGTCTGGCACTCTCCACTCGCCAACCACCATCTGATCGTTCCAGATTTTTCGGCCGCTGAATTGTGTATTTAAGGCACGCGGCACCTGGTGCAAATGGCAATATTGCTGCCATGGAAAACTCGATTGACAATCTCCGAGTGCACATCTATAAAGAGCACTGGGAACGGGAACAATTTCTGTGAGGAATTCTTTCTAATTAACGTCCAATGAAACGAGAAACCGCGGAATCTCTGATGGCGGGAGGTGGTCAAAGACTGTCCACTATTATGGAACCATTTGGGGCCCTGGAAGGGTCTGAGTGCCCGTGGTGGTTGGGATCAGAAGTCTTAAAACCATTTGGGACCCCTGGAAGGGTCTGAGTGCCGGTAGTGGTTGGGACTGGGAGGCTCGAAACGCAAAAAGCTAGAATGGTGAATGGAGCCACCGCCTAAACGCTCAAAGGTATGATTGTACTTACGTATATGCACACATGATTGGGGAATACCGCGCGGCAGATGTGGCAACAACCTCGCAAACTGAGATAGAACAGTCACAGTTATGTCATTTTTCCAGTTAAGGTAATTATTCTGACGGCTCCACCATGCCAACTGTACTCATCATACTCTACCCATAATGAATGCACTGACCTTGATACGTACGCCAGCGCAAACGGTTGGGTTATCTAAAGCACCAGAATACTCTGCAGCGCAGTCGGCACTACGGGTTTTAAGTCGGGTGGGGGGGGGGGGGCCACAATTTTCCAGAACCCATCTGGCCAAATGGGGCCTCCTTTTTAGGGTGACTTCATGTACAATATCGTACTCAAGGGGAGTGGGCACCGGGGCACGTGCCCGTATCAAATTATTACACGTAGCAGCATCCATGCAAACATATTTCGACAATGAAAAATCCAGAATAGAGGTTCTGTAGTTGATGCAAGAATGTTTCCGGTCCAATAAAGGGTCTCAAAAACCAAAAACCCAAGGCTCCTGTTACAAAAAGGATTTCATGATGCATGGAGACCTCATAATCCAGGTCAGGATGATCACGAATCGTAAATGGGGTCCTTCGAATCCAGCAAAGGGCCTCATTGTCCCAGAACGGGGCCTCCGTATTCCAAAACAGGGGGTCCTGACCCGGATCTGAGGCCATCATGATCTGGAACTGAGGCCATCTGACACATTCAGATGGCTCCCCTGTTGCAGACTAGGGGCCTCCCAGTTGATAATGATGGCCTTCAGAGGCAGAATAGGGCCTCTTTTTAGCACAAAATAGGGCCTCCTGATCTAGAGCATGAGTTGCCGAATTCATAAAGACGGTGTCATGTTCCATAAAACGGACGTGGTGATACAGAGGGTCTTCTGAGTTTTATTTTGTACCCTCTAAGTCAGTTATAGGGGCCTGCTTAATATGGGCTTTGGTACGTTATATGCGTCTGCAAGGCCTGTAGCTTGGCCAAAAGGGCCTCTCAAGAATTTGTGAGGACAAAAAGATACTGTTGCTCTCCGTCGCTTAAACATTATGCAACTGTTTCACAGATGGCGTTCGGCATGAGTAAGCGGAGCTGGACAAGGGTGGCCAAAAACGTATCCATAATCGCAGGAATTCTATTCCTCATGATGGTCATTGCCCCGACTCATCACGACAGGACGCCGGTGAGTACCTGCGTGGGCGTCACGTGACATCACAGGACATTACTACATGTCAGGGCCCACACCCTGTTTTGATGTGTAATTATGAGAAATCAGTTAAGTGCATATGAGCCTTTTGCTGCCAACGTAACGATCAACGGCGAGCAAATAACGATAGTCAGCTAACTTTTCGGGGACTTACGCTAATGGCGCCATATTGCGATGGCATTCTCAATATGTTGTTACTTATTTCAAGGTTTCTGCACAGATGCATTTTTCATGAATGCTGGGTTTGTAATAAGGCTGTTACTTTCGTGACAAAGGCCCAGGATCATTGGATACCATACTTGAGGCAAGGAAGCACCCGGTACTGGGTGAAATATTGCTGCCAACTTGCGTGCTGACATATGGGTAGGCTGATATGATTGACATGCTGCTGACAGATCTTCTCTGAAGATGGAAAATTTCAAGTAACCAGTCCAGAGATGGTGAAACATTTCAAGATGTCTAAGTGGAAGATGCCACCGCACGAACTGCTAGACGTCAAGGCTTTCTACGACTACATAGAAAATCCTCCATCCTCATGTGGGGCGTATGCCTATCTCGGTAGGTGATTCCGTTCGTGGGAATCTGAAGGCTGCATAGTTTCATTCAGACTAATTAACTATGAAGTGCAATTCGCATGTTAAACGGGCTAATGATACCTGTGTTGCATATCATCAGAACCTCTTGTAACATGACGTAGCATGCAGCGTGCCCTCACACCTTGCGCATCGTGGCGAAGTCCGCGATGATAGCACGGGGCCCCCGTGCCGGTATCACAGACCTTTGTCATGACGTCATCGCGGAGCCAATCATGGCTCCAGTGTCGCCAGCTGTTTAACAGCGGACACATGTGCTTTCGTTCTGCAGGAGGTCGGGCCTGCCATGAGATCGAGGACCACATGGTGTGTCTGGACCCCAGCCTGGGCCTGGACCACGACAACTGCCTCGTGTACTCCTTCGGCGCCAGCTCAAAGTCGTTCGAGAAAGCCATGACAAACTTGGGGTGCAACGTGAGTGACGCAGTTTCATAACAGGGTACATTCCCTTCGCGACGAAGGACAATTTTGGAGAGTTGGCGTGAAAACTCAGAACAGCTTTCGCACAGATCACACTGATCATTCTGGTCGGTGCGAAATGCTCAGTCGGTCTGATTTTTTGTCTGGCCTTTTTGAACGGCAAGTGTAAGCTAACGTGCTATTGATATGAGCCCGCGCATTTGCACTCACTCGCGATCCGCGTCCGAACCTCGTCCTGAACCTTTGTGAATGATCGGATTCATGTGAAGTTGCTAATCACGTACGCTGGCGACAATAAAATTCCGTCAACAATTTAACGCATTTACGTGTAAGTCTTTCTTTGTTGTACAACGTAAATGTGCATTTCATCTAATAACAATGGACCCAGACAACACTTTGCACTTGCCAACTCTCACCTCACGCAGACCCATGTGACACATCTGTCCAGCTGGCCCGCGGGCCGTGGACCTCCACTGTCGTGACTGCCCCCACGCTCTTCCAGGTGTACATGTTCGACCCGGCCAGCCACCGGGCCGACCACCGGCGCAGCGACCGTTCCTGGCTCTACCGCATCCGCCTGGCCGGCAACGATTCGGCCGCGCTGCCCGGCGACAAGGTGATGACGCTGGACGAGGTGCTGTACGCCTTCGGCCACCGCAGCCGCCAGCTCGACTTCCTGCTGCTCGACCTGGACGGCGAGGAGTGGCCTGCGCTGCGGCGCATGATGAGCACGCGCGTGCTGGACGACGTGCGCCAGCTCGGCGTACAGACCGTGCTGGACGTGGAGGAGCTGGCGCCGCGCCAGCGGCTGGAGCGGCTGCGCCAGCTCTACCAGGTGCTGGTCGGGCTGGAGCACAGCGGCTTGCGGCTGGTCAGCTCGCGCCGCCAGGTGGAGCAGGTGTCGTGCCACGGGCTGCCCGAGCTCGGCGACGAACGCAAGGTCTGCTCCATGTACGAGCTCGTGTTCGTACGCCGGTAGGCTGGTGGTGCGGCGCGGAGATGGGACGTTTTGGTGCGGGTACGGAGGGTGAGGCGTCACACGTGGCGAGAGGAGCGCTCGCGCGTCGCGTGCTTTCCAGAGCCGTTTAGCGCTGGTAAGGGCACGTCAGTGTGGTTATTGCGAGCATGGGTGTGACCACTGGAGTGTGGGAGGGGCTGGGGGATATGTCCCGTACAATCTTCCCAAAGCGAATTTGGTCTCCCTTTTTAAAATGTTCTTTCCACGTCCAGTTGTCCTCCAAATTTCAGTTTGAGAACTGCAATCTTGATTTGTCCGCCAGCCCTATAAAAGAAACGTGACAACACCCATGGTAAGGATAAATCGGGCTATCATGCGGCTTCACAGTGAAGAACACATCCGCAACAATATATTGTTGTTAAGACGATCGTTAATGCGAAGTGTTCGATTACACGCTTTATTTAGTGCAAATATAGTTCCAAGACGAACACGGCAGGCAATAGCGAAGCATTGTCATACGCAACATGAACATCCGCATGAGATAAATACACCGCACACACCGCCAGCTGCGCAGAGTATTAGCACACCTCTGAATAACGGCCGGCAAAGACGAAAGCCAGCTATTTATATATTATATATTCATAGCTAAACCACACCAACCGACCGTGTCGATCACGTCGGTTCAGCTTAGAACAGCCAACAATGAATGCGGCCCACACAATGCCAATTGAGCCCCGAATGCAACCTATGGCCAAGAGCTCAGTGGACGCACACGGAAAGCACCAACAAATGGACGGAAAAGGGTGCGCCAAAAGTGAGCAATGGACATCTGGCGAATGCCGCGGCCGCCCACTGAAGTGCAATACCGCGCAGCTTCATATCAGCTGTACGTCAACACTCGTTCTGCCAAGCGCAGATCTGCCCCCCCCCCCCCCCCCCCCCCCGGAGCCCAACGGACCCCACGGCCGAGTTCAGCCCAAGACATCCGTAGAGGGTGCGAAAAGGCCTCATTCCTCGATTCCTTCTGTGCGGTCGAGTGTGTGGTCGTTGACCAAAGTTCACCATCGTGCACTTCAATGTAGCATCGAGTCAAAATGGGAACTGAACGATGCAATGTTACACAGCCAGCGCAGGCTGGGCATTCATGAACGTCCACGGCCTCATCACACGCTTCTCGGCCGTACAACCTAACCGAACCAGGAATTTGGGAACAATGAAATTGTGAGAAGCGCATGCCATGCAAATCGCTACCACGCTGACTCGAACGCTATCAGCGCGCTACGATAGCAATTGCTTCAAACGATATATCACAGCAGCAACCGCCGCTCGCCACACGGTCACAATGACATAATGAGAATGGGAGCACAATCTAGACTAGGAAACGCGTCGTCAGTTTGTCTTCTACTAACTGACAGCGGCAAAATGGCCAGCCAACGCAAGCCTGTCCCCCTTTTCTCAGAGACACCGTATGGGACAGCGACAGTTGCGACATCTTGCTGGTTACTCCAGATACACATGCAAAATCATATAATTATGATTAACATAAGCGCGTCGATAGGATTAGACTACCATTCCACTTTCGGCCCTAAATACCGAGACGTAGCGTGGGAACATTTACCATGCATGCCAATACCATACCCAAATACCGACACGTGGCATGGAAGCATTGAGACTACAATGCCGTTCCCCTGTCGCAAACGAACGATCCAGACATGGGCAGGTACGATCAATCGCTCCGCAAAAACAGTCAACAACATAACACGGCCGACAACGCAAAACTCGCGACAAATATGCACACTGCAGGTTTCTATTTCGGCTCGTCGGTGACGTCACCCCTGCACACGGTGCCCCAAACACTACGCAGGAATATATTTCAGCCGTGACCGAATGCTTCCGGCAGGGAGCTGTACTCTCCCGCAAGCCTCTTTGCTTTGGATTCGTTGAGCGCATATCAAGAGCGGTCGTGCAGACGCGTACTGGCCTGGAGCTGACTAAGGTTGTCATGGTTGTCACCGGTGTTGACAGCCACATATTGGCCAACTCAGCATCGTTGATGAAGTTCTGAAGCACGCACGGACCACCAAAGCCATGATAATTTTATCGTTAAAGGTGACGAAGCGGAGGCCGTCCATTTAACAATTGAACGAGATCATTCATTAGTAAATACGGGCTTTATCAATCAGTGCTGACAACACACTCATACCCCAGAAACTCCCCGAAGCGGGCTGCCACAGCTAAGTGACACTACTACAATTAACGCTCTTTAAGGCGACCATTTTTGATTGTCACTGCTTACTTACGTAACTTACGTCACTTACGCTGACAACATGTGACAGCATATCCGGCCAACAAAAACAGCCCAAATAGACTTGTCACAGTCAGCAAGCAAGGCAATTCAAATTCAGGTCCGGAGGTGAGACGACCCGGGTTTGATCGCCAAAATTGCTACCACAGCAGTCATCCGTTACGAGGCACGCGCGGCAAGAGCAGCACACGGCACAACACGGCACGGCACGGCGAGCGGCAGGAGAAAGCACGGCTTCGATTGACTGGCCCTGGCCCAGCTGGTCAGCGTGAGACGCGTGCGCCGCGGAGCGAGCAGGCCCCAACTCCAGGACGCTCCCACCGGCCGGCGGGAGGCGCGCCGGACCTTCACGGTAGCCTGGCCTCGCCGCGCCCGGGCGCTCTCCTGTCAGAGCCTCCGCTGAGTGCGCCCTGCAGCACTGGTCGCCCATGGCACCGGCTGGTGACGTGGTGGCTACGCTCCCGCCATCGGTCTCCCGACAAAACGCACTTGAAGAAATCAAGTTAGAGATCATTTTCCCTTTTAGAACAAGCCGGGAAGTGGTTTTAGAGAGCAGTCATTCAGCCCACGCATATCTCCAATGCCGACATATTGCCACTGTCGCCCCCTGCCTTCTCTGGTCCTGACGCTGTGTGATACAGCGCTAACGCAGGCAAAGCACCTCTGTGACGCCCTCACCTTCCAAAGCATCCAGTTTACGCTAAAGCTTTGCCGGTTTACAGCAGGGTTTGTCCATCTCAATGGCTCGGTTGGTTGGAGCACGTGCCTTCCGATTCACCCTTATTTAGATGTTCCAGCGAGAAGTGGGCGAACACTTTAAATTGAGCCAATCATGACGAACCAAATACACTGCGTATCGCTTTTACAGTGCTTTGATTTCGTAAGTACCGACTCTCGGATGAAAGCAAGCCACCTCGCATCATCATAATCTTATCACATACGTGCTCCCGTGCGTGGGGAACCGAACTCCCTCTCGCTAGCGCACCCCTCCACCCACAGCGGGCCACTCTTGCTTGAGCGCAAACGAGCGACGACGACTTAGCGTGCTTCGAAGCGTTGAGTGCGAGGCTGAGCGCGGCCGACTTCTACAGGACCTTGACCTCGTCCAGCCCGAAGTCAGCCTGGTCGAGCGAGGCGTACGGCCGACGGTCGAGCGGCAGCAGCAGATGCAGCAGGCCGCAGCGGCCGAACACGCGCCGGCAGTGCTGCGCGGCGCGCGGCGACACCTCCAGCCGCGGCGTCACCGACCACATGTGCGCCACCTGGCCCGACGCCAGCAGCACCTATCTGGTAGCCGAACATGAAGCCCGTGCCGAGACTGGTGGTGGCGGCCAGGTAGACCAGCACCACGTAGCCCAGCACCAGCGCGCTGATGTTGCCCAGCGCCCAGCTGGCCATGGCAATCGGCGGCACGAAGTTGATGGCGCCCTGCACCGTGTCCAGCGGCATCAGCGCGCGGTGCAGATGCGCGCTGATGCAGTACGCGGCCACGGCGCAGCCCAGGCAGGCGTGCAGACAGAACGCCAGGAAGTAGACCATGTTGTCGCGGCCGACGCACGCGCCCAGGAAGAAGCAGTGGTGGTCGCGCAGCCGGATGCAGTGTAGGCAGAGCGGGCAGTGGTGCGAGCACGCCGGCACGTGGAACGCACAGCGCCGGCAGAAGTGCACGCCGTCGGCCACCTGGAAGCGAGGCGCCGGGTCCATGATGCGCTCGTGCACGTCGTCGTCCGACGGTCGGATCGGCTGGCACTGGTCGGGCCGCAGCAGCGGGTAGCGGCTGACGCGGTTCTCGGCCCGGTCCGACGGCTCCACGTAGCTCGGGTGGCGCAGGAACTGGGCCCAGTTGGCGAAGATCAGCACCGGGAAGATCAGGTAGAACCAGACCGACTCGCCGGCGGCGAGCTTGATCACGACCGTGGTCGTGGTGAGAGATCCGATCAGGAACAGGTGGATGGTCGGTGCCAGGTACTTGGCCACAATGTATGAACGGTTGGTCTTTGTGCTACCCATCTTGTGCAGGGGCGTATCTGAAAAATCAATTGGATTAGAGCAGGCAGAATCCCTAACCTTCCATAGCGAAAAATAAATCAAGAATGTGGGGTACACTCGTAGCCCAACTCGTCCAAAGTTGGATGTAACTACATTTCTATTTTGTTTTCAATACACAACATATTATTCATGCCTCATCCTCATATAGAGGACACCCATCTCTGGCAATTCTAAAAATGCTTAGATATCAACTATGCATGCCAATCTGCACAACATCCATCTGCTACACCAGAAACCTAGGTGACAGATAGTAGGCAATGAGGTCCAGTACTGAACCTGGTACCTGTACATGTCACACTCAGCTATGATGCTCAGTTTTCATTTTGTATTTGCTTGACAATTTTGAGGGTATTTTTTAAATTACAAATGTTAACTACAAAATTTTACTTAGTTGAAATATTGTCTTTCTATGGGCTGGAGGTAGTGATGCCCTTGCAGCAAACCTGTGAGCTGAAAATGTTCCAAAAATGTTGCTGCCAAACTGGAATCTATGGTGAACATGGCCTTCTTTGCACCATGTATGGCTATCCTTACACTCTGTGGCTGACATAATGTACAACTTCAACCATATGATATCTAATGGAACATTTTTCACATGATGGTCTCAGAATAAACAACCCCAGTCAATGGCCCAATACATCCTCACACAGAAGCACCATCTGTACACTATGTTGTTACTTATCCAGGCCTAGTCAAATTCACCTGATTGGAAAAAAGTATCTCTAATATATCTATCTTGTTGCTTTTACATAACTATGGCTTGCAATTTTTTACTTTGCACTTGAAATGCTTCAGTCACTACAATTCAAACACTAAGGGATTAATGATGCCTCAATAAAGGTAAAACTCTACCTAAGCCAGTCTGCAAAAATTAATCCACTGCCCAGGGCACCCATGCAATGTTAGTGAACTGAACCTAATGCCCATGTGCACCAAATTCAGACCACCCCAAATTGGAATTAATTTTCCCTACCATCTTTAGATAAAATAGACATTTTTACATAGTTTTGCCTGCAATAACATTCAAAATGTCATTAGTCCTAGACACCTTCCCTGTATGTGCTGGCAATGGTAGTGACTGTGCACCACACTCTAAATACACTAAAATTTGGATCACAATTCTGCTCCTATAACCAAACTTGTGATGTAACATGCATTTTCTAAATACTGGTAGTTAAGCACTATTACTAAGATCCCATGGCTAATCTGCAAAAGGTTATCCACTGTTCAGGATACCTGCATAATGTTGGTGTGCAGGGCCTGACATGTACATACACTGAACTTGGATCAGGCCAAATTGTACTTAATTTTCAAATTATTTTGTCATGCAAAAAGCTCAAGGTAGGTTCCTGGTTAAATATACCATAGTAACACCATATTCTTTGAAACACTGAGTCTACGTGCACGCCAAACATATTCGGTGTAATATGCATTTCTTGCAGTCTGACCGTGGGTCACCAAAATCAACAACTGTCGCGTCTTTCAGCCTGCTGGTAAGGGATAGGATCCTCTTGAAAATCACTCACCCTTGTTTAACTTGCGACGATCCCGTCACGCCAACAAAATGCCCTACATACCCTCCAAAATGCCCATCCTATCACTCATTCCCACAGGGACGCTGTCGCTTCCACACGCTTGCATTGTTTAACACACCATTTCTCGAATCAATTGGGCCACGAACGCCTCATATAGGTGAATCTGAACTGCTGCCTCACAGCTGGTCCTGGTAAAATACCGCACATACACAATGAATCTGTTTCTTTTGGCAATTTTCCATCTGAGACTATTTAAAAATAAACTTAAGTCAATAATAATCTACTCTTGTGTGTGTGAATGACTCTGCATTGATTGGATCATGAAAAAATGAGCATGTATTCCGTCTCCTTCGTGTATGAATGGTACTGCATTTCTGCGCATACAAAAAAAAAACAACGCTGCGACAGCCTCGGACAACTTGCGCCCGCTCCGCATTTTCGAGCGCTCGGGAGGGTGTGTTGCGTGTGGGTGGACAAGGTAGCCGGGCGAAAACGGTGGACGGGGATTTGTGGATGCGATTGATACATCAGGTGTACATTTAAGTGCTAACGTTGGGTCACGAGTGACAGCCGATTTGACAGCTGTCATTTGTGGGTGCACGTTTTTCTTTGCGAGTCCAGCGCGTGCGTGGAAGTCCGTACAGAAGAATATGTCTTTCTTTGCAGCCGTGGGCCAATGTGCCGTGTTTTATTCATGTACCTTTTTGGCTAGCCATCCATTTGGTCAAAAGCGACTCTGAGCCTCTGGTAATTGCCATCCCCATCCTTGTCTCAAATTGATGGCTGATCATGGTAGGTTCATCAAAACTTAATATGCTGCTGAACTTCAAGCTTAATTTTTTGGTTGTTTCAAAGGGCTACAGCATGACGTCATTTGTTCTTTTCCAGGGACAGATCGATAATGCCACCTTAGGAGGACAACTAAACAAGAAAGGGGGGGGGGGTTAAGATCCAGGAGGTCCTGATTTTCAGAAAGTGATGGGATCTGTCTTTTACCTCAAGGGTATTCTAAACAAAATTTGTGTTAGTCCAAGATGTCATGGTTTTCCCTTGAACAGTGCAGAAACCTGTTATTTTTATGTAACTTGGGTGGTCTTGGGGTCGGGGCTGTGCTCTTGGTAGCCCTCTTTGGTATGCCCTAGTTCTGTTCCAATTTTTTGCTATGATGGTATATTTTTAACTTAAAGTTGAGCTGTATGGTAAATTTACATGCAATTTTCTGTTATCACACATTTGTTGTTTTAGGATTTTTGACACCTAAGGTAGGGGCTGTGGTCTAATTGGCTTTCTTTGGCATGTCCTTGTCCTGTTCCAATTTTTTGCTGATTTGACATCTTTTTAGCTTAAATTTGAGACTTAGGGTAAATTCACATGCAATATTTTGTTATCATACACTTGGTTTTTTAGGATTTTTTGCAAGGCTTTTCATAAATGTACACAATTTGAACAATGCTATTAGACCAGTGATGGCAAACAAAACCCATGAGGAGTGTTTGGGACTAAAAAGCACTGTTTGGCTGACATGCTAGCTGAAAGCAGACTGCTACTGTTGAAAAATTTGGACCTCTTTATTCCCCAGGAGTGTCCCTGCTCTGCACGTGCCCAGCACCCACATTCACCAGAAGTTGGGTCACCGGACATGTCGCCATCGCCCCTGCGTGGCCAGGTGCTGCGGATGTACCGGCAGATCCTGCGCACGGCTCGCACTTGGGAGGCGGCTGAGCCGGCGCAGACGGACGAGCAGCGGCTCTACATCCGGTCCGAGGCTGGGACGCTGTTCCGGCGGCACGCCGGCGTCACTGACCCGGAGCTGGTGCGCCAGTACCTGACCGAGGCCGAGAGCCGGCTGGAGATGGCGCTGCACTACGGCAACCCGTACCCGCGGCCGGTCAACCTGCCGCCGGGCGCGCTGGCGCCGCGCGACGGCCGGCCGCTGGGACGCGCCCAGCGCCGCAGCCGCGCCCAGAGTCGGCCCGTGTACTCGCGCTCCGAGGACGAGGGCAGCGGGCTCGACCGGTGACGGTGTCGCCTCGGGCGGTGGCGTCGCGGGCATGCAGTGGAGCGAGGCATGAGTGGTTGCGGTCGTGCTGGTGTGATTTGTGGCACTGCTGAGGGTGTGTTACGCAGTTGTTGCGCTATCTCTGAGGCAAAGGCAACCTGTTTATACCATACAGGGCTTGCTGGTTTTCCCAGTGTAAGAGCGTAGTATGAGCATACACGGCATAGAACATGAGTGTGCTAGTCGCCTACCTAAGTACGCGATGTTGACGTAAATTATAAAATAGGCTTGAATTCGTGGGAAACTCGATTGTGCTGTTGACGACCTTGACGAGTCCCGTACCAATACACCTAAATTGTCGTTCGTATTGTTTTGAAATTGTGTGATGTGTTTTGTCACAGACTTCCCCTAGCTGATGCCGTTTGCCTACCGCAAGTGCTCGCTTATTGCCTATGAACTCAACCCGAATAGTGCAAACTGCAAACCATTCCGAGTGAACAGCAAACAACAGTAACGTTCAGTGAACAACAAGCAACGTTCTTCTTCAGCAAGGAATGATGGCTTTTTACCCACCAAATCACCCCAGATAGTACAAATAAGACAAAATTCACAATGAGGAGTCGAAATTCGTGGCTCGTGACTTATTTGTGAACATGGACATGGGTAGGGAGTTGCATAGGTGACGGACGAGTGCCGGTGTAATATGGTGGATCGTCGGGAAGGACGAAATCCTGCTGCTCTGCAGCTTAGTATTGCTACATTCCGAATGTGCACTGTCCTGCGCTGTTTTGTTCGAGTAACGTGCGTGAGTGAGGTGACGCTTTTCTTGAAAATGAGGTCTTGAGATCAACAAGAAATCTAGACCTGCGTGGAGAGGAATGGTCAGATTTATGAAACCCCGTAACGTTATTGTCTCACAGTGAACAGTTGGCGTACTCTTGGATTGCTGAAATGTGCAATGGCCTAACCAGCCGTGGATCGATCGTGGATCGTTCCGTATTCTAATACCCTTTGTGCGCGCGGGCCATTTTTCGAGCTTTATACTTGTGATTAGTGTTGCTCGACGCATGCATTGAGAACATCGAGGCCGAGGGTCGATGAATCCAGCAGCTCAATCTAAGTACGTGCGAGTTTGATAGTGGGCGCTCGAATTGATAATGTTGAGAGGCGATGACGTAAGATATATTTTACGATACACAGATGCATGTAACATATCTGTGGAGTTTCAACTCTTCCGATGCCGTTATGCATCTAACACTGGCGCAGAGAAGGGGGAAGCTTGCATCAGGGGGGGGGGGGGGGGGGGCGGTGTAGCAGCGAGGCAGTGCTCCCTTCGCTGGAAAATGTACGCCAACCTCATGGTGTTTATGAAGCAAAATGAGACAAGAATCGCGTTTGCCCATCTCCATAGGCGAGACGCCCTGGCTCTGGCGGCGATTAATGGCGCCCATTTTACTCACCCTGGTAATGAAATAGTAGCCGTGCATAACGCGATTGCGGCGAAAAAGGCTCCTCTTGATGACTCAAACGTGTGACATTGCCATCTATCGGTCGTCAGGAAAACTAGGGCACAAGTAGCGTCATCTTTCCAGTAGCCTTGTTCGTGACCGATATTCTCAGTCTAACTTCCTGCCTGGGGGGGGGGGGGGGGAGGTTATCCACGTCTCTGGGATTGAAGGGACAAATTAGGATCAAGACTGAAATTTGGAGCAAACAATCCGACCTGCAGATGACATTTTGAATGAGAGAACAAAAAAGGCATGTTATACGGGCAACATTGGCAGGGTCAAAATGCCACTTTTGTGAAAATAGAACAAACATGCGCTCAGTCCCTCCCACTGCTTGCATTCATGGTCGCGTGGATTTTGCTAAATAGGTATAACTACAGAAAACGACAACACAAGCTTGTCCGAATCATAGGCTGGGTATAAATCTTGTTCGATCCCAATATCAGGTTTTTGAACCGTTGACGTTTCCTGCTCCTCCACAGAGGTGCAGTTTCCTACTCCTCCTCAGTGGTGCAGTTTCCTTTCTAGTCCGGGTAGGGAGGGACTACCGCCACCCTCCATTTTAGGCTCCTTTCTCCAACTTTGAAAGGAAAGTGGGCCAAATCTTCTTGGAGAAGGCTCTGTCATTTGTCACTGCTTAGCCCACCCGTCCCCCCCCTTAAGTCATGCTGCGAAGCCATGCCCTTACTTCTCGAATTCACGCACATATGCGAAAAGCCTTCACGGAACGACATCCTAGACCACGGTGTCACGCACCAAGTGGAGACAACTGCCGGCCGTGCGTATACCATTTGCGGACTTCAGAAAACTGCACGCACACTTGGGGTGCAGTTAGCTTCCAAGGCATGTGACGAACGGCAGCTGTGCTTATCAAAGGTGAGGGTAATGACTAATGATGATTTAGATCCACATTCATTAATTTTTATTAATCTCTCTCGTTTGTGATGCCGCGGGAACTGTTCAGTCGTGGCACTCGACAGAGCAGTGTCCAAACGTGGACCCTCTTCAGACGAAATCTGAGAAATCGGGTCCAAAGACGAACCCATCATCTCATGCAAAACTCTGACCCACGTGACCTGATTCCCTCCACGGATAACACAATCCCATGATACCCGGCTCGGATTCAGACTCACCGATTTGAAAGAAAAAAAGAAATAGACCTCGACGTCGATAGTCGATAGACCTCGACGTCAACCTCGTTTATGACTGATTCATTTCTGTTCATCTCGTCCCGTTCCAGACAGTGATCTGGCGCCGGCATGCCACGGGGTACCCACAGCAAAGAAGACAACAAACGCCGCTGGAACTGGCGATCGCTGTGTTGGGCAATTCAGCCGGTCGAGTAGGCCCGCAGAGCTCACAATCCGATTCAGTAACACGATGTCACACTCACCTCCACGCGGCTCTCGCCGTCGACCGCACAGCAGTGAAAGACATGAGAAACGACATTTGACGGAGCATTGTCTGCGGCTCTGCGCCGAGCTACCACAATGCTGGTTGTATTGTCATATGTTGCTTTTTGTATCGTCACATGAAGTGTGCGGACCTTACTTCAACTGAGGCCTTTTCGAACGTATCAAATGTTGCCTAAAATCCCCTTGTTACGATGACGAACGCGAACAAAACTCATGCCATAAACGCTACAAAACCAGGTCTAACTGAGCGATTACACCTCGTACAGTGCGGTGCCTCGCCGTCGGTGCATGAGAGCACCAACGGCGCGGGACGATGTCGAACAGCGTGCTGGGGCGGGGAGGGGAGGGGGGGGGGGGGGGCAGCGGGCCGTCACGGTGCGCCAGCCGGGCGTGCCCTCAGGCATGACCGGGCCGGACCCCTCCCTGCGGCGGTGGGCCCGCCCGGCTCGACACACGCTCACACGCGGCGTCGACAGCCGCCGCCGCCGCCAGTGACTGTGACACAGGCGCGCCGCCGCCACCCAGCACATGGAGCCGGCCGCCGAGCCCGCCGACGCCAGCACCGACCAGGTCAGTGGTGGCATGTCGATGGGGCTTTTCGTGCCTCCTAGGGGACGATGATCTCGATGTTTCTTGGTCGCAACAACATGAAGGGCTCTACTCAGAAGAGCTGTCCCGAAATTGGATTGCTCCCAAAGATATGCGAAAAAGTCGACTGGGACCGCGCCTACCTGCAATGGGCAGCACATTAGACGAGCTGGAGGGTCTAAATCACGGCAGAGCATGCAGAAAATCACGTTAGGCCGTAGGACGGAAATTGTGGATCAGGTCATTGACCCGGATCACGTTGGACTGAGGGTGGATTGTGTAGCGGCGTCAGAGCATGTGATGGGTCATGCTAGACTAAACCGATTTACGTCTGACTGATAGGAACTATAACAGACCAGACGAGAGATGATGGTGATGATGATTTGAGTTTAGGGGCACGCCGACTGCGGAGGTCATTTTGCGCCCATAACTAAAGTTAGTAAGTGCAAAGCTTTTTAACTAAACGAGACAGACGAGAGACCAAGCCAGACCAGTCGAAGGGCCATATTAGCTGGTTTTTCGTGGCATAGATTTCGCTCATAGCATTCGTGGCGATGGCAGGGCAAGTGAAGAACCGGGAGTGAAATCATACATTAAAGGTTGAAGGGATCCAGTCTATTTTGATGCTGCCTTACATTAACAACACAATATTGGCCCCGCTACGGTTCGAGTCACGGTAAACCAAAAGGATCTAAACCATGGGTAGCGGACATCTGCTAGTTAGCCTTGCAAATGTTAAAAACAGGCCCGGTCGGTTGTCAAGCGCCTTAGAACTTAACCTGGAACTTAATTGCTTATTCGTGTTGGGGGGCAAACGCAACTCCAAGCATGCGTCTATGCGTGATGTCTTTGTCCGCGAAAGCGTTGTTCACATTTTGAACATCCTGGGGTCAGACACAAGCATTAGGGCAGCCATTTGAATGTTTTCGGCCGCATGAGCCCCCGGTGGCTTTTTATTTTACTGAGGAAAAACCGAAGATAAGATGAAATAGCAGTCAGGTAAGACACATTAGCTGTCAAGAGCAAATAAACGACCAAGAGCGAACAACCAACGTCATTCCGCGGGGACCGGAGTTGGAACATGCTGAGCTACGTGAGGAAATAACAAAATGGCATGTGAGCGCAATGTCAGACCAGATGGGGATCTGCAAGTCAACAAAAACACGGAGCCGACGGGACGACTGGCTGCAGTGAACTGATCTGCCGCGAAGGTCACACTGCTGCAGGAGTACAAATGCACCATTGCGATCTGCTGGGATTTGACGTGCAGCGTTTGAAAGAAGCGAGAGATGTTTTACCTGTAGCGTCTGTTGCGCGTCGCGCTCGTCATATATGGCTAGAATACGGTGCGCAGGTGATCAATGACGTCATGGAAATATCCAGAAGCAGGAAACACTCCACGTGTACCAATTATGCGAGAGCTGGTGGGAAGGGAATATCAGCAAATGCGCTATTATTTCCAAATATTCATCGGCCTTCCCGTTCGGAACAACGTCTCGTCGCAATTATGCACTGAGCACGTGCCGGAGCCACCACATCCCGCAATCGCTGCGAGTGAGAGGCGCACGAAGCCGCCTGTCGGTCACCGCCTAGCGGAGCCTTTCCTCGCCGCCCCGCCTTGAGGTGGGAGTGTGGGGCGGCGCCGCCGTGTTGCAGCAGTGCGCCCCCGTGCGACGCTCGGCACCGCATGCCACGTGGGCGGTGACGGAACGGGCCGGCTCGGCGCCCGAGGACGGCGAGGTCACGCGTCGGCGTCGGACGGTGACCCTGACCTCGTGTGTGTCACGGGCCCGACACGAGTCGCAGCCTTCCCCTCCCCCGGCGCCGGCCTTCGCCCGCGGGGCGTGGCCGC